CTAGTGTTGGGGGAGCTGAGCAGTTTCCTTGAAGCGGCGGGGCCTACGGAGAGAATAGGCAAAGCTATCTTCAACATAAGTTGGTGCGAAAATACGGTGTGAGGGGTCGTAGAGACAGTGGCGAGGACGATCAAGCTACTTCTAGCTGATTGATCCATAACCCGCTCTCGTAATCCTTCAACGGCTCATCCTCATAAAATCAGGCACGGAGATGGCTAGAAATAGTTCAAGGCCACCAGTGTGTTTCTTCTGGTGTCCATCGACGGAGATGACCCTGAATAGCTTGACTTATCCCTGCAATTAAGAGGATCAATAAGTTGCGGTGGGTTGTATGCTTATCTGCCGGGCCTTGGATCGACATCTACTTTATGCCGACCGATGCCAATATGCACGTTCTAGCCCATTCAAATATTATATCGCAACCCATATGGTTCATATTGTTTTAGCACTTCAATATGTTGTCATAACGGGCGCTGCATCCACAAACTTGCTCGTGTTTGCACACGAACTCTCTGCATCAAATGCACATGAAGGAAATGTGTAGTATGTAAATCAAGTTGAGGATTCATTAAGTACATCAAAAATGGATATCCTTGTTTCGGGACTTTTTAAGCCTGATGTCGAGAAGGATGAGATGCGATTGGCGCCCACACGCCCACATGATCCGTGATCTTCCTTCACGGAGGATCATTCGGCATCCTCCCTACCGACCGAGCGGCGCACTAAGGCTTCAGAGCCTCGGTCCAGAACAATCCAATCAATTGTTCCTTTTCGAGAATCTCCAGCCTTTTTATCAATAGTCGGTTAGTTCGGAGCAACCAACTTGACTGTGGGGTATGAAGAAGGGAAACCTCCCTGTTTTGTCTTCATGGCCAAGACAAGGGTGTGGTAGCTGTGCCCACATCGCCCGTTTGTGAGCTCATGGGTGTTGGAGAAGAAACAACATACATATTGAGAAATGGGAAATATCTCCTTAACCCCGTGAAATGGTGCGACTAGGCAGACCAACTAAGAACCAATCAACTGGGTCTGACAGGTGTGATGGCTGAGTCCAAGCGCTCCGAAGCAGGTCAGGCAAGTCAGGATGCCTGCATTCCAACAGGAACAGAACATTATGCACGGTCTTCCGCCCGGTGGTATTGCCGCAGAGAGAACAGTGTCAAGCCGCATTGATCCTCGACGGGAGTGCCGTGTCAATCCGCACAGATTCTTCCCGATTTTTTTTGATTGCGAACGACAGGTTGAGACATTGGTGTCTACGGACGAAGCCACCAATCAGTATGAAACGGGAGAATCGCAAGAAACATCGTTTTTGGACGAACTAGGCTCCATCGCCTCAAACTTGGGATGACATCGTGGCTCCTATGAGGTTATCCCTGATCCTATCGATATGTGAAGACTTTGGGCTTCGGGAGTTGGGTGACAGGCCTCGAGGTATAAGAGCTTGAGATATCAGTAGGCATGAATAGAGATGTTGAAGGATCAGTAGGAACATCAAGAACCATCCAGTCCCTTCACGACTTCTCACTTTCGCTTTTTCCAGTCAAACATCTGCCAACCAAGTGCAGCGCACACTCTTTCAACCATCGCCATACCAGACTTCACTCTTTTGACAAGACATTCACTTCAAAAACCACCACAAACAACCAAATCAACTCTCTCAAAATGAAGACCGCCGCCATCACCACCGTACTCTTCGCCGCTCTCGCGGCCGCCAGCCCCGTTGAGATCCGCCAGACCTCGGGCTGCAAGGCCTTCACCGTCCTCTTCGCCCGCGGTACCACCGAGATGGGCACCCTCGGAAGCGTTGTCGGCCCCGGTCTCCAAAAGGCCGTCGCGTCCAACGTCCCCGACTCTGTCTTCGAGGGCACAACGTACGCAGCTGACATGGCCGGAATTATGTCCGAGGCAACCGGCTCCGGCCCGGGCAGTGTCGCCATGGCCAACCAGGCCAACTCGTGGCTGAGCAAGTGCCCCCAGACCAAGATCGTCCTCACTGGCTACAGCCAGGGCGGCATGGTCGTCCACAACGCCGCTAAGAAGCTCTCGGGCAAGGCCGTCGCCGCGGCCGTCACCTTCGGTGACCCGTTCAAGGGCCAAGCCGTCACTGGTGTTGCTACCGCCAAGTTCAGGAGCTTCTGCGCTGCTGGCGACGGCGTCTGCTCTTCTGGTGGCTGCGCTAGCTCTGGAAGCTGCTCGAGCCAAAGCGCCTCTGGACACATTGGATATGGCTCCGATGTCAACACCGCTGGCACTTTCCTTAAGACTGCACTCGCTTGAGTGCAACACCAGTGAGGCATATGCGTCTTGATAGAAGGAGCGTCTACCAGTAGATGCTTGGAGGGAGCCCTGGATTTGTGGCATGGATACACGATTGGATGTCTGGAACTTTCCTTTCTTCACAGTATGGCTTTAACCTTCTTGTATTGAATACACCTACCTAGTCAATGGCACTGGTTCTTACTTCAAACTCCGAAATTAATAGTCCCCACGAGATCTGTCATCGCATGATAACATCTAGTTGTGTCTACGTGTAGGCCCGCGACCACTCATTACCTTTAATAAAACTGACATAACCGCTCTGAAACATTTTTCTGGGCTTTGTGCCCTTCATCCTTTAATCCTGTATTTTGATGGACGATCAAGCCTCGTCACTGTCACTTCCATGAGTGCTGAACTTCACCCGAGACTCTCTCCACCTCTGAAGTAACGGCAGACCAATACCAGTCCAGATAGTCAATGCCACCACAAACGCAAGCGCGCTTTTCCAGCCATGAGTCTTGGTAAATGCAGGAGCCTGTCCGCTCGGCATCTGCAGCTGCTGGAAGGGAATCACAACAGCCTGGCCGACGGATACCATAAAGCCAAGCACGAAGGCGCGCTTCTGCTGGTCGCCACCGCAGGCCTCATTCGCCCATCCAGCTAGCAAAGGTGTGTAGCAACCATAGCACCCTGCAAGGATGAACACGGCCATGCGCAGCATGTGCGGCACGCTCCATGCCGCGAGGACAGCATAGACGAACGTAAGAAGACACCCGACGGCGAAACAGACGGGTCCACGCCGGCCAATCTTGTCAGAGACGTAGCCTGTGGAGACCATAAACACGAAGTTGATGGCGCCGACGCAGGTTGGGATGTTGTTGATCTCTGGCACGGTGTACATCTTTGTTGACTTGAGGTACAGAGTGAAGTATTGAATGATGTAGGAGCCGCAGGTCAGGGTCCAGAAGGAGTAGGCTGCCGTGAAGGCGTAGACTTGCCACGAGCCGAAGACGCGGGTGATAACGGACCAGTTCATCTTGCCGACAGGTTTGCGGCCCTCTTCTTCGATGCGCTCGCATGCACGTTGCTTTTCCCAATCGCTGAGATAGAAAGCCTTTGTCGTATGAGGGGTGTCGGGGAAGCAAATCTGATAATGACGTTAGAGAGATGAGAGGTTCTATAGAAGTCAATATCGAAGAGAGATACTTACGACGCCATAGATCACCACTGGAATGGCAAGAATGAAGTCAAAGACAAAAAGCCATCGCCACGCCGACAGACCACCCTTTCCGCCCATACCCGAATACAGTGCAGACTGAAGATAGCCGGAGAACATCTGTCCCAAGACACCGCTCATGACGAAAAGACCAGAGCGACGGGACAGCTCGCTTTTGCGGTACCATGATCCGAGGACGTACATGACCCCAGGCCAGGCGGCAGACTCGAACAAGCCAATGAAGAAACGCAGGACATAGAATTGCGTGGCGGTCTGGCACTTGAACAGGAAGAGCACGAAGAGAGACCAAGTGCAGAGGCACCCGGTCAGCCAGAAACGCGATCGGACGATAGTGATGATCAGGTTGGCAAAAGAACCGCCGATGATGGTTCCAATGTTGAAGTACGTGTTCATCCAGGAGAGTTCATTACCGGGACCGAAGCTGAGCTCTTCCGACATGCCAGATACGTAAGCATTCGAGATGTTGTTTTGGTCAAGCTAAAGAGGGGCACTGAAGTAAGCAAACCGGCTGAAAGCGACGCTTGGGAACTGGATAGGTGTGTTTACCTGCTTGATGAAGAACATTAGACACGAGAATGAAAGTAGAAACCAGTCCAACTTGAGAATTAACTTCTTCTCCTCCGGCGATGTGCCGGGCTCGTGCCAGTGGAACCATCCGGCGACTTCAGGTTGCTGTGGGGGCTCCGGCTTGGTATCGGTCTCGGCAACGGCGGAGGTCGTCGAAATGCCGTCCTTGTCTTGGCTCCGGTTGGTTGGGTCGACTGCCTTAATGGCATTGGCCGCGTTGGTGTCGAGGTGCGGCGCCATCCTGGTTCGAGTTGCAGCTATCACTGACCCTGAGCTCGTTGCAAGATCACAAGGCAAAAAAAATTGCCCACGGTCGGCGATTTAGGCCAAACAGATGGAGCTTCCCTGGGCAGAGTGAAGATTGAACCCGGGCAGAAGATTCTTTATCATAGCATATCCCTCCCCAGATACGCTAGAGAAGCGGTCGATGGTCCGAAAAAGAGACTTGATAACGATTTTTACTGGGTCAAGCACGACATCGGCAGTCGTTTCTCCAAGCCGACTTGAACAAAAGTGCTCGTCACCGACTCACCATTCGCGGCGAACAAAGCGCCATCGAGAACAAAATCTTTTTTCCTTCCGATGTGGTATCGGGGAGGGGCCTTGTGCCTTTACCCTTTTTGGAAGTTTCTGTCGGGCTACTTCCGGTCCTTAGTGACCCCTTACTCGCACACCATGCGAAGCCCGGGCTAATCCCCCGCTTCGTCTCGCTGGATCTCTCCCCGCTTCTTCGGCTTCTAATGCAGTGCCCCCTTTCGATACAGAACGGCATCTCAAATGAAGTCCTCAACGCTTGGATAATCTGACGTGATTTGGGCTGTGAAGTTCATAGGCAAAGAAGTAACCAATTACGTGGACTTTGGGGGTTTCTAACGCCCACTTTCTGAGAAAACCAGCATTACTTCCAAACCACTGGGTCGGTCCTCAAGACAAGATGATTGACTTTATAGACATCAACGGTGCCCGTCTGGCATACCGCATAGCTGGACCAGAAAAGGCACCGCTCATGATCACGTTACATGGTGGCCGCGGAATGGGTACATCAATTGAAAGCTCAATGTGAGAAGACGAGCTTGCTGACCAAGGGTTGGCATTATCCAGGTGATCATAAATCCGACTTCAAAATTTACAGCCAGTTGAGCGATAAGATTCGAGTTCTCTCCTTCGATTACCGTGGACATGGCCAAAGTTCTTTGACTAAGCCTTACACCTTTGAGCAAATTGTCGATGACATCGACGCGGTAAGACAGCATTTCATCGGTGATGGTCAGGCCATCATCTGCGGCGGTAGTTTCGGCGGTTTCCTAGCGCAGCACTATGCCATCAAGTACGCCCCGAAAGTGTCGCATCTGGTTCTCAGAGGGACTGCACCGTCTCATCATCGTGAGTCGTGGAACCTCGGCGAGCGTTAGAAGGGCTGAGCGTTGACAACATCGCCACCAGACGAGGCCGGGGCCATCAAAACCTTGGAGGCGAGGATACACAAAGTTCCTAGCTTCTCTGTCGACATGTTGAAGAACAAAGTCTTTGGGGCATATGAGAGCGATCGCGAGTTTCAGTTGATTTACTTCGCCATGATGCCGCTGTATAGGGAAACTTTCGACCCTGATGCAGCGCTGAAGAGCAATCTGGATGGGGTTTACGTCGCCGAATCTCACAGTAAGTGAAATTCTACACTGACGGTAAATCTGAGAAATGTCCAGACTAGTTGACAATCAACCCAGATGATCTCTATTCCGAGAAAGAGAAGTACTTTGATTACACTGAACAACTCTCTCAAGTTACAGCGAAGACTTTGGTAGTCGTGGGCGACAAGGATTGGATATGTCCTCCCGGTAAGAACTTTGCCAAAGTTGCCAAGCAGCTTGGCCGATGCTGACCATGAAACGTTGCAGAAAACTCCAAATTGATTGCTGAAAGGATTCCTGGAGCTAGACTTCTGTTAGTTGAGGGCGCTAATCATGGTGTCCATGCCGAAAAGCCGGAAGTGGTCCTGGGAGAGATTCGCAAACACTTGGACATCTAGTCTCAATGTGGTTGTCAAGCTCTGACTGCAAAATGTCAGCATGAGGCTGTGGTTCTTCGATATGAGTTCCACACGAATACCACTTGCAACGACATCATGCCTTATGACTTGAAGGACCATGGTGCACTTCTATCGAAAAATTCTGCATCTTACTCAAATGGGGTAATGTTACTTGGGCACGTATAAATCTTTTTCTACAGACACAATTATTTTTCACGGATCTTCCGTCACCTCTTGGCCGGCGTCGCCTCATTCTCTTCAGTAACGCTATGCCGTACTTCTCTCGTAACCTTGATGATTCGCCGCGTGCTCTCCGCATCGTCGTCATGGTTGCTGTTGTTGCTTTCATTATCCCCTGCTCCCCCGATCACCGTCACCCCTAGGTCCGTTTCGTATATCGGACCCTGTCGTCCCTTGCCCTGTCCAAAGGTTACGAGATTTGTGTCGCCTGAACGGTTGTAGGGTTCCTGCGTGCTGGTATCCTTGGCCAATCGTTTGAAGAAGGCTCGTAGCATTGGTAGCGAACCAGCAATGATGCCCAGGCCGCATTCGACAATTGTCCAGAGAACTATGTTACCTGCGTGATCTACACAGTTGCAGAATTGTCAGCGTGCTGCCTTGTATGGATTTTAGCAGAATGATCGGGTTGTGCAGTCTTTCTTACATAGAACGTCGCTGGCTTTCATGTACGCATTCGTGAAAGGTACTCGGATAATGCTCGCGATGCCAGCTCTAAAACCAAAAGCGATTAGTCAAAGCCTCATGGAAACCATTCCCTGCATTTGGCAGAGATCCCAAGGTGCCAGACTTACAAGAGACCCAATCCCAGAATGAGCCGTACGTAGAACTTGAGCCGAGATCGCATCTGCACATGTCGAAGCAGAAAGAACGGAATCGCCGCAACGCTGAAGTCGGTGATGACGTTGGCGACAGAGGCTCCATACGAAAGCGCGGTGGCCACGATGGGTGGCCAGCAGGTTCCCGGTATCCTCTTGTCCCAATACCTGTCGAGGGGGTGGCATTGGTTCAAGATGACGATTAGGCCAGAACCGCTCATCAAGAAGGAGAGGCCTATCAATCCTCGCAGGATCCAGAGGTAGGCTTTCTGGTTTGTGATGCGCATGAGGGTAATGCAGATGCTGGACTTGATAAAGCACAAGCTACCTGCGTAGAAGGCTTGCCAGATCAAGAGGGTCTAGATTTCGTTGGCAACATAGAGTTAGAAGCTACAGATCGTACTCTATCTCGTAGGTCTGCTCTGGGCCATGACAACATTACCTTGTAGCCCTCAATGCCCGTCGCTTGGTTCATTGTCTCATCTCTGCTCGCTATGCCGGTGAAAGACCCGTAGATCGCAACGGCGGATTGGCCCAAGTTGACAGACTAAACAGACAGTCTCGCGGTTAGCCCCCTTACCGCCCACCAGGACATAGTCTACCTACGAATCCTGTCAACATAGCCCAGTCGTCTGAACCGATTTTGTTCGTCTTGAATCGAATGAACATGCGCATAGCCATGACGATAGTCGTTAGGATCGATAACGTGACGGTAGTGACCAGAAGCCCCAATGCGAGCCCCTGAGGCTCGATGGCCTGCCACGTATCGTCTCCGGCCACATTCGACATGACGCTACCGCTCCGTCGACTTCGTAGTAGCTGAGGCCGAATCGAGGGAATTCCTCTAGGACGAGTATGGAAGAGGAGTCGAAATTGGTGTCTACATCCTGCAAAGACAACTACTAGTAGTGAAGAGGGATTCGGAGAAAATGTACAGACAGCAAACCTTGCCACTGAAGTGGAGGTAATGACCGTAGTCCCTCATGGGAGGACCAAAGTTCTCTAACGCATCTTGGTCCCTGACATCCCTGGCCTGGACTCGAAGGAGCGTCTTCCCATGTGCGTTTGCCTGATTCAGCTGCGAACCGCGTCAGGTACGAATACGTCAAGCTCGGGTCAATAAAAAAAGTCTGTTGGAGAATTAGACGGATTCCAACACCCCGGCAGATGCACCAGTGTGGGATGTTGGTTGTGTGATAGGATGCGGTACTTGACAGGGGCCCTGGACATATGGCATGGGGATGGGAGACGTCAAAGCGAAAGGTTGCATATGGAAACCCAGCACCAACAGCATCTTGGCAAGTGGGAAGCAGGGAGCGAGGTGGACTACTCCGCTCATAGATAGCACATTTCTTCGGTCTCGCATGTAATGCATTCTGGCTTTCCAGTCAAGGTGTTGAAGGTAATAGTTCTCGTTGCCTGAAAGTTCGTGGAATATGGACTTTGGCTGATATCCTTGATTGCGATTGTATTCGGCCTCGGAATATCTAACATATTATGTATAAGTTATGCGGGTCGGAGTGCATAGACATTCGAAGCCCAACAGGATGGATACGCGGCCCGCGGATGGTCTGACCCAACACCCGCCCGCATCAACCCCGTTGACAGCTGAGCCGGGGATGTATGCAGGAACGCGGGGTTAAAGCAAGTCGTCGTCTTGAAGATAACTAGAGTCGGGGTCCTTGTCGTTGACCGCCCATCCTTCTGAAAAGTCCGTCCGTCTTGACCTTCCTGAGCATACTATCTGAAAAAGGGCCCCGGAGCGAAGATCCTCATCCTATAAGACCATCCGGCAACATTTTGATGTCACCTAGCAAGTCATGTAATTGACCCCCTTTTCTCCCTTTTTCCTGATCTTTTCTTTGTGCCAAGGAGCATACTTGATCACTGTGAGATTTTGATTTACCAACAGACAGAAGCGCGTCAGACCCGCCCTTAGAACTCATACCATCAAGCTCGCACTTTGACGACTGACCATGGCTATCGAATACGAGGTCAAGGGAAAGGTAGCCCTGGTTACAGGAGCTGGATCTGGTAAGTAACTAGTCTCCATCTCTACCTGACCTGCAGTGACGATGCCCTTGGGTCTTGATCGGAGAGGTCTCGATCACTGGCTAACATCAAATTCATGATCGTTCTAGGCATCGGTCTAGCCATCACTCAGCGTCTCCTTAACGAAGGCTGCTCGGTAATGATCGCAGACCTCGCCCTCCGCCCAGAAGCCGAAACCACCATCGCAAACTTCCCCCATCCGTCCCCATCCGCAGACAAGCCCTCAGCCGCCTTCCACAAAACAGATACGACAAACTGGGCCCAGATCAAATCTCTGTGGGCCGCGACCCTCGAAAAGTTCGGCCGCATCGACATCGTCGTCAACAACGCCGGCATCTTTGAGCCGCCCTGGTCGTCCTTCTGGAACCCGCCCGGCGTCTCCCCCGAATCAAAGGATGATGCAGACGCCGAGGTGGGATCGTACCATATCTTCAACGTCAATACCATCGGCCCCATCCGGCTTGCACAGATCGCCATCGACTACTGGCTTCAAAATCGCGAGGTCAAGGGGAATCTGCTCTGGGTGTCGAGTATGGGCGGCTATATCCACTCCATCCAGACGCCGTTTTACTTTGCCAGCAAGGCAGCTGTCCTCAGCGTTGTCAAGTCGCTTCAGGGGTTGAAGAAGTTGGTGGGGATCAGGAACTCCGTCATCTGTCCCGGACCTACGAGGGTACGTGAATCTTGGCAGTCTACAAGTTTGTTGACATGACCACAGAGACTGATATAATCGCAGACGCCCCTCTTTGACCAAGAATTCTGCCGCGACCGCTTGCCAGCTGAAGACCTCGCTCTGTCGTCCGATGACCTTGCCAACGCGATGTTCTCGCTGCTGACGGAGGAACAGTACGGCAACGGCAACGTGCTCGAGATCATGATGGTTGGTAGCAAGGAGGAACCTAAGATTCATACTAAGGAGGTGCAGTTGGAGGCTCTGTACCCGACGGCTAGCCCCATGGGTGCTGGAACTAAGGCTATGGAGGCGGAGCTCAACTTTATGGGGATGATTGCTGAGAAGGGAATGCGGTCTAGTTGCTAAGTAGGTCAATAATGTCAAGGCTATCCGGACATTTGCGAAGCGGTTTTAAGAGGGCCCAGGCTGTTTCCTACGCCGTCAGAAGGTAGGATCAAGAATGACTGTCACGGCACTTTGATACTCCGTAGAAGATTCATTCCCTACCCCCCTTGCTAAGAGCGATCTCCGGAGACTTGACGGGCTGCTCCGTCTTATTGCTCGAGCAAAGCCCCCTTGCCTCACGGTGGATATGCCACGGCTCAAGATGCGGAACAAGAACCCGTTCTTATCCTGAGGAGGGATCCAAACAAGCCCAGGCAACATCCAATTTAGAAGCCAAGACACCACGCCAGGATAGCGGAACGCAACGAATATTCAGAGGTGCCAGTAAAATCAAACTTGATTCGTCGCTCTAACACATTAAGGTATCTAGGTACTAAGGAAAGTAAAATAAGTAGCCGGCTACAACACAGGATCATATCAGAGAAACCCCAATTCCAACGACCCCCAACCATAGTCCATGGCCGATTCATCGTTCCCCACCGCCGCCGAGTGCCGTGTAGGGCCCGTGGGCGAGAACGCAGTCTGGCCCCTGAACCCCGCCGGCGCCGAAGCCTGCCCACCACAATCGTCCGGGAACTCGTGAAAGGCATAACAGGTCGACCGGCCGAGGACCTCCTGCATCAGCGCGACGAGCCGCGTGATGAGCGGCCGCACCATTGCCTGGTACGACTCCTTAGATGAGAACTGGCCGCCGCCATGGCCGTACACGTTGTTGTTACCGGGAAAGTGCAGCGTCGTGTAGCCATTATTGGGCACGCCGGAAATGAGACCCATGAACTGACGAAAGACCTGGGCGGCTTGGCGCGCCTGGTTCCAGCCCTCGGGAAAAGCCTCAAGGATGCTGACGATGACGGCGACCTCGTCGCGCGCGGAGAAGGATGTACATTCTGCAGCGCAGGCGATGAAGCTGTGGATCAAGACTAGACCGACGGGGAAGAGGCGGCACAGCGTGACGCGGTTCAAGGGTAATTGGCGCTGCTGGAGGAGAACCGAGGTCGACTGGAGGTGTTTCTGGGCGAAGCGCAGCAGCTCGACGGCGGACACGATGGTGCCGCACGAGTTGAAGTGGCAGGGGTAGTGGAGGAGGAGAAGAAGGTGGTAGTACCGCGCACTGAGCCAGGTAACGGAGTTGTGGATGGGGACGTTGTCTGGTTCCAGGGGAGAGACGAGGCACCCGTTACTATACCAGTTCTCAATCTCGGAGCGGATGTTCTGTACTATGGCGCGCCTGTCTGCTTGCGAGAGTGCGGCGACCTCGGGTTGTTTGCGAGTGTGGATCTGTTTGAGAATGCGGTCTTCAAGCTGCCTGAGCTGGATGACGTGGCGATTTGTCTGAAGGATGGAGGCAAAGTGTTGACGGTCTGGGGAGGCGAACTCTTCAATTGTGAGGCCTGGTAGCGGGACGTCGACGTTTTCGTCGATGAGGGCTACGGGAAGGCCTAGGGAGATGGCCATCATTCGGTCCAGGACGTAGATGCTCCAGAAGAGACGGTGACGTAGTTCAATATCCATAGCCGATAAATTCTTGTCCTCGGAGGATCTTCTGCTCAATCCGAGGAGCATGGCTTGGCGGGAGACGATGCCTGCTATAGACCACGTTGAGATGCCCTTTGGGTCGAAGAGTGAATACAGTGCCACCAGGACAAGAATCTGGATTGACTCGAGGTCCTCTCTGACAAGACATTCCTGGATGATGTCGGCGTAGGCTACATCGAACTTGGAAGCTGTGTCGTTGGGTATTTGGCCGGCGCGCTGCAGGGTGGTGCACCCAATCGCCATGATGAGATAGAGTAGCGTAGAATCGGCATCTCTACGACGCTTAGATGATTCACCCAATGACTCGAGGTCTCGCAGGACCTTTGTCCTATTGACAAATGGGTACGCCCGGTTGACGTTCCGGAAGTAGGCGTCAACGAACCTCCGAGCAATAGCGTCGCGAGGCAGGCTCGAGGACGTGAAGCCCTCTCCATCGCGAAGACTCTCAATACCAAGGATCCTTCCGGGCTCGGGAGCCGGCTGCAGAAGAGCTCGCATATGATCATGGCCCCTTGACGACGATGATTCCGAGTCTATGTTCACCGCGAGACTCCTCTGATCAAAGAGGACCGATCCCGACGTACCAAGCGGCTGCTGATGCACGGCGAATGTATCCCGCGGTTCCGCGCGATTACTCTCTGCACTGATAATAGACCCAGGCGTGGCTCCGTTCGCCGCCGGCGTGGCCGGAAGAATCTCCATCGGCTGGCCGACGGCTGTAGTCGTAGTAGCAGCCGGTGAGGATCCCAAGACAGAGGCGATATCCGTGCCCGTATCAAGGGTCTCTACGCCAGGGGCGCCGGCGACGGGCAGGTTCTCGTTGATGAAGCGCGAGAGCCATTCTATCCGGGCGCGCAGATGATGCGTCTGGGCGGCGGTGGAGGCCGCTGGCGTAGAGAAGGAGCACTTGTGTCCCGCGTTGGCGCAGAGGGTGCAGATGGGAAAGGTGCGGCTGCACTTCTTCTTGAAGCTGCGGCAGCGGTCACAGGCGGGGATATCGCGGGCGACCTTTGGCGACGATGCCGAGATGGATGACGGTGCAGCGCCTACTGCTGGTGCTACTGAAGCTGCCACGGAGGTGGAGATATTGGCGCCGGCAGCAACTGCGGTAGGACTTTGACCTGTCAGCGCCGGTGAGATTGGTCCTGACGGCAGCGCCGGGGCCGAGCCCGAGACTGACGCCGCGATGGCTGCTCCTGCTACTGCTGACGATGAGACATCGGGGACGGCATCCGGAGGTCCCGGGTGGACTGCTGAGGACGGCGTCTGGGGCGGCAGTGCAGGGCGTACGGCGGGGGGAGAAGCCGAGCGGCGCAGGGCTGGCGAGGATGGGGATGTCTGTCGGACGCGAAAGCGATGAATATTTGATCTGATGTGTTCGGGCGACATTGCGACGGTGCGGCAATGCCAAATGGGATAGGAGGGACTGGGCGACGGCGAGACGCCGACGTGAACGCCCGTTTCGTGTCGGGGCTGTCGGGGAACTCTGGGGCGTTTCTTCGCTGGACACGTCGCATACACAACCGGTTGGTCGGCTGGGAGTGGGAGTGTGGGATGGGGGATCCTTTTTCAAACAGAAGCGAGACTGGAACTGAGTCGGGAACCTCTCCGCTTGTTGTTACCTTGCTTCACTTGCTCAATGGATCGTCATCTGCAGGGCAGAGGCAGTGATAGTTCTTCAGCGGCTGTGCGGTTCCATGGCTACGGGTCGCGTAGCATGATGGCCGTCATTTGTTGAGTGATATTCATTTCTTTGGCAAAGAGAAGAAGAGTGAAAATTCTCTTCTCTCCCCTCCCCAGCGTCGCAACGAGGCTGTCCTGCCTTACTACACACTACTCGTACCTAGGTACGTGTACACACTATCTCTGCTTCTGCCCAGGTCACTCTCCGCGCAGATCCGATAGCAATCCAGTCACTGAGTCTGGGACTGGGAGACTATGAACCGGCCGGCAATGCGGATAGAAAGCCCAGGAGCACAGCACAAAAGTACCACAGTACCAGACAGTTGCCGATGGTGAAAGAGCACGACTCAAGCGGGCGTTTAGCACGCCATTACCGCGGTCTGTTCAGGGGCGACGAATGAGGAGTCTCCTTAGAGCGATTCTTCTGGTTTAGTCGGCCCAGTTTCGCCCCGCTGTCGGGGATGCGTCATTCGGAGTTAATATTTCCTAATAATTTTCCCTTCGTGTTGAGGGGGAGGAACCGAGGAAGAGTGAGTGTGAGAGTGAGAGATAAGGGGCCGGCCGGCAGCTGGGGTCGTGCTGTTACATTCTGATAGTCGGCAACTGAGATCTTTATTGAAGCACCAACTACGGAGTACTTGAAAGCAAATACAGTTGGACAGAGCCGAGAAACTGGAGAAACGGTAGTCAGATACGGACTTGCATAAGAAAGATGTGTTCAAGAACTGCCAGACTCTCCGAAGCGCTTCTGATCTCCCCCCCACCCGCCCAGCATGTCCCCGACACGCACAAATAGCGCTGGCGCTGACACTGGCGTGGTCGGGCCAAGTCCGACTCGTGTTGGCAGTCATTCCTTTTGCTGCGACTCGGTGGGCCGTTCGTCCGACCAGCAGAAGCATATCGCCGAACCAAGGTTCGTCTGTAGTCCTCCTGTACGAATACTCTCGTCAGGAATCTAAGACCCAAGAGTGTAAATCGCCTGATGCTCATGCGGAGCATAAAGCACAAATCGCTCAGAGTTGCTAGTCACTCTTTCTATTTCCATAAAGCCGAGTCTTCTTTTTATCGTCATCGTCCGAGGGTTTCATCAGTGGTGCTGCACAGATACCCTTCCATACTGTCGCTTTCTCGCTTCTTTACAACCCCTCCTCGCGTCCAGACCCGGCCAGACTCCGCCGCCATCATGTCGCCCATGTACCTACAAGAGAAACTTAACATTGACCGGGTTGCCGTCATCGGCGCCGGACCGTGCGGCCTGGCCGCCGCAAAGTAAGCCCGCCGATCCGGCCCCAGCCGACGAGCCCAACGCCTTACACCTACTTACTTTATTTGCACTTCAACAGGTACCTGCTAGCGGAGAAGAAGTTCTCCAAAGTCCAGATATTTGAGCAGAGAGATACCGTCGGCGGCGTCTGGACATACAGCCCGTTGAACGTTATTGACGGCGACTTCAGCATCCCCAGGACACAACCAACCAAGAACCCGGACACAGCCATCGCCGTTGAGGGACACGATGCCAAGCAATTCGTCTCTCCAGTGTATGATTACTTGGAGACGAATATCCCCCACACACTCATGAATTACTCGGATAAAAAGTTCCCCTCGAATGCCTCGCTATTCCCTCCCCACCAGACAGTGAAGAAGTATCTTGAAGATTATGCCGAGGAGCTGAAGCCCATCATCTCTTTATCTACTCAAATCCTCTCTGTCAGAAAATCTTTCGGCGGCAGTGAGGTTTATTGGGAGATTGAAACCCTGAACCTTAAGACAAATGAGACGAACAAGGCGCAGTTTGATGCCGTCTTCGTCGCGAGCGGACACTACAATGATCCCTTCATCCCAGACATCTCTGGCCTTGCCGAGTTTGATAAAGCACACCCAGGCTCCATCTCACACTCTAAGTTCTACAGGAATGCCGAACAGTACAAGGGAAAAGTGCGACGAACCATGACCGCTTAATCTAATGATAGTCACTCACACTCATCACAGAAAGTCATCATCGTCGGCAACTCAGCCTCGGGCATAGACCTAAGCGCCCAAATCTCAACAGTCTGCGCCCTTCCCATCATCGTCTCCGAAAAGACAGTCCCCAATACCCCCGCAGAAGACCGCTCGTCTTGGGCCAAACCCGTCCCCGAAATCCTCAAATTTATCCCCAAAAACAGACAAGTCCGTTTCGCCAACGGTGAGACCGAATCTGAGATTGACGGCGTCGTCTTCTGCACGGGCTACTTTTACAGTTTCCCCTTCCTCCGTGATCTCTCACCTCCCGTCGTCACGGACGGCGCCTACGCGCGGAATCTGTACGAGCACCTACTCTACATTGATGACCCGACGCTCGCGTTCGCCGGCATCCCGCAGCGCATTGTGCCGTTCCCCGTGTCGGAAGGCCAGGCTGCGTACGTCGCGCGGGCGTGGGCGGATCGTCTGCGTCTACCGAGTCGCGGCGAGATGAGGGAGTGGGAGGCGCAGGTGCTCAAGGACAAGGGGGAGAGTAAGATGCTGCATAACTTGGCGTTCCCCAAGGATCTGGAGTACATCAATATGCTCCACGCGCGAAGCTTAGAGGCGGAGAAGAGGGGGGGTCTGGAGAATGATGGTGTGGGAAAGATCCCGCCGTACTGGGATGATGAGAAGCGGTGGACGAGGGAGCGTTTCCCTTTGATCAAGATTGCTTCGAGGAAGCTGGGGGAAAGGAGGCATGAGATTACGACGTTGGAGGAGCTTGGGTTTGATTACAAGGCTTGGAAAGCTGGGCTTAGTGAGGAGGAGAAGTTACTGTGAGGGTTACTCCTTTATGACTAAACCATTTCTTCCCTCTTCATATTCTCTGTAGATCTTAGAAGGAGCAGGAATAGAGAAAGACTGGAGATGTATATGCTGAGGCCATCTAGCAATTGATGGAATAACTTCTCATACTCTCTCTCACGAGAGAACGTGGGTATCCAAGTAGTATCCAGGTCTGGCTCGCAACAGCTGTGAGGTGATGAAACATTGGTAGAGTCGCAAGCTAACTACTTACTGCTCATGATGCATATCAGGCGTCGGCCTCTACATGTAACATGCAGTTCAATGCATCTCTTCTACTTTGCTGTTGCCAACTTGAGGGTACTTTTCTTCGAACGCCTCGAAACGTTGAAAACCTCTACCGATACCACGAAATCAACATACAGTCAACCCAGATGAAGATTGGCGGTGTCCTAGGATCCACTAGATAAAAAGGCTATGGAGGAGATATTGTTCCTACGATACAACGAGCTTACAAACTTGGACTCGTGAACGCAAAGCTGACAAATGAGCTTTCATCCCAAACTACACCTCCTGGTCGCGCGCGCCATGAGCGCTCGGAGTTCCGAACCGCGCGGGATTGATGCAGCTTCCCCGCTCTGGAGGCTGGAGAAGTCTATTTTTACGTCATGTTCACCTACTTTGTGGAAGCACGTTTGCTCCTTTGATATGCTTCCTAACAAAGCAGTCCTAGGTACGCTAATAGCAGACCCCTCATCACGCCACATAATACCACTGCAGTTGGAATCCCACCGACTCAAGTTGTATCAACCCATCAACATATATGAGATCTGGTATCGCACACTCATCGACTAGCGAGGATCCGACCTGCTTTCTATCATAATAGTATAGAGCTATTACTTCAACACACGATTAATATGAGTGAAGAGGTACGGTTGCATACAACTATAGACACCAAAAGCATACACGTTAATCCCTTCCTTGCAGAAAGACCCCATCCGGTACCAGCCCGGCAAAGGCGGAGGTTTTGAGCGCACGGAGGCGCAATTCCGCAACTTCATCGCGAAAGATGCCAACTCCAAGTTTCCATCTGAGAAGGGCCGCTATGCTCTTTACGTCAGCCCCGGGTGTCCTTGGGTAAGTCCTCATGTACATCAAAGTGAATGCCCCGCTAACAAAACGCAGTGTCACCGCGTCATGATCGTCCGCGCCCTCAAACGCCTCGAGGACGTCGTAGACCTCTACATCGCCGACATGGGCATGGGAAAAGAGGGTTGGCACTTCACAGACAGCCCCGAGGCAGCAAAATTCGGCGTCCTCCCGCGCGACCCCGTCTACGGCTTTATGACGATCAAGGAGCTGTACCTCAAAGCGAGTCCCGGCTATGACGGGCGGGTCACGGTGCCTGTCCTCTGGGATAAGAAGTCGCATACTCTCGTCAGCAACGAGTCTAGCGAGATCATCCGTATGCTTTACACCGAGTTCGATCACCTCCTTCCTGAGGCGGATCGCGAGGGGAGTCGACCCGGAGGGGGCCTGTACCCTGAGGCGAAGCGTAAGGAAATTGATGAGATTAATGAGTGGGTGTATCATACGGTCAACAATGGTGTTTACAAGAGCGGGTTTGCGTTCACGCAGTCCGCTTACGAGGAGAACGTCGACGCCTTGTTCAAATCGCTAGATCGCTTGGAGGATATTCTCAAGGACCGGCCTTTCCTGACCGGCGATCACATTACTGAGGCTGATGTCCGCTTGTTTCCTACGATTGCCCGGTTCGACGTTGCATATGTCCCGATCTTTATGTGTAATCTGGGCACGATCCGGAACGACTACCCGAATCTGCACCTTTGGTTCAGGAGGTTGTACTGGGACCAGAGCGCGAGGACGCACGGCGCATTCTTCAGCACGACGGACACGTGGGTGTCTAGGTTCAAGGAGGGGTATGGTGGTGCAAGGAC